CATCTTACGGTATATACGGGGGATCAGCACACCATCTGGTGTGGCTAGATCGTTTATGGGCTTAGTTCCCGGGGATGGGCACGCCTGCCCAGCGTGGCCTGATCAGGGCGATCTCCCCCCCCCTTCTCTTTTTTTCAATAGAGACGCGTCGATACCATTCATAATCTTACTTACTCTGGAACCTTGTTTGCCTTGTTGTTGTTTTTCCTGGAAGCTTCCACTAAATACCACTGTATAGAGTTACTGTATGTTTGTATTGAGTGTTTGACTGGAGGTAGTAAAGTTATATTATTCGTAAATCCATTGATCCGAGTACTGTAATCCTATACCGCCTAAACTAATCCATTTTTTATTTGGTAAGTCACGAGGTGAATAATCAGTTTTCCAAAATGTCATTTAATTGGTGCCGGCGCTCCTGGACAGGGGGTCAGAGGTGAACCCGCCTGCCTTATTGGGCACTCTGACCCCAAGTTCTGCACACTGATCAAAGACAAGGAGCATGAAGCCCTATCCCAGTGCAGTTGTAAGATCTCTGTTCTAGATCTTGCAATTTCGGAAATACCACATCAGATAAGTAGGGTGTCGTCATAGTCTATGGAGGACCTAGTTCGGACTGTCATTTAGAGAGGTCTTATGCTAGTGTAATTTTCCTATCCTCTTTGCTCTGTGAGGTCTTTACATTTAGGCTTGTAACATTTATGTAGTTTGACTTTACAGAAGATAATGATTTTTAAACGTTCTCTCAAAGCTTCCTGGAATAATCGTTTTGTAGAGTGTATGGCATTTTTTGTGGAGTGGTGGTATAAAGATCTTACTGAGGTGACCTAAATGCTCACTTAGGAAAAGTGTGAGCGTCCCAGAACTATACCAGCAAAATCCTTCTGCCCCATCACAGCCTCAGGTATTCCATCTATTCCATACTTCACAGAAAAAAATTGTATTGGAAATGTGCGATTTTCAAACATTTATAAGTATGAATGTTTGTTTATAAGTATTTACTTGTGATTTATAAGTATACGTATAAGTTCACCCATAAAGGAGTTGTACCCTGCCTCCATAAATCCAACTTTGCAGTCATTGGATAAAAAAATGTAACTGCTGTTTAGAAAAACCTAAGAATCACAATATGTTTGTGTATGTAATAACATGATGAATTTAATATAGCTCAGGTACTCACTGACGAGGAGAAGAAACCGAGTATCGTGCAGCTTTAAAATGAGGGTAATTTCTTCTAGACTGATTCGGTTACTATGAGCTATAAACATCTCATTGAATCTAGGATGACGCCTACCTGCCGTAGGGCCTCAGTCAGCGTAATCTTCAGAAGTTAAAGGTACTCAGTTTTTATACCCCTTCAGTTATTGGCCCTCTAGTAAGTGTGTCTGTAGTGTTACAATTAAAATCAATTTTTGATAGCGTTCTTAATTTCACGGATATCTACACACAATGAAATGTGGCTTACTTCCCGTACTGCAGGTGTTCAAGCAACTTCTACGTGGTAACAGCTTTTGGCTACAATGGAATCCTAGCTGCATCTAGTTCTAAGCCTAAAGCAAAAAAACTTTATGACACTGTTAGTTTTTGCCTGAAAACAAAACGTTCCTTTTCTCTGCGTTGCTAGTAAAGCTCGCGCAGGTTGGAATAGTGTTACATTCATCTTTGCCTCATCACCTGATTGCATATTTATTCTCTTCTGGAGGTCTAGGCCACCAGCGTACTTATGTCAGGTTGAGCACCAGTTTCAGATTCTTTATTTCTTAAAATGTTATTTCATAGAAATTATTGTTATTTTGCTTGGGGGTGAAATTTACTCCTGTGCTTTTGAAGTAATGGAGCACTGTTTAAACCTGGTTTCAAGGTGGGTGTTGAACTCTAGTGGTTTGTATACCGTCTGCTGGCCACAGGGGCGCTTTCCCAAGCGATAAGAATGCATACAGGTGGATTTGCTTAGTGTAAGGTGGTGCCGTTGATATGCTATGGATCCATAAAGACAATAACAGAATCTTGCAGCATCTCTCTCAACAAATCTTGCTTACATAGCCTGTCAATAAAAATGAAAAGGTAAGAATGTGTAGCAATTTGGGATTTAAAAAATTACATTTGATAAAATTTGGTAAAAGTAATGACCGTTCCGTTTTTCTCTATGTGTTTTGGTAGGGTTCTCTGATTGCGCTTTTCTTCTCATGTGTCTCTCAGACCTCAGGCTCTTGGGGATACTAAGAATGCCATTTTTTCCTTCTGATTGGAACTGTAGAGGTCGGTCAAGGAGTAGGTCTTCAAACAGTAGCTCTGTCACTAGTTAGTTATCATTATCGAGTCTGGACAGGTTTTCGGAGTGCCCTATTGTAGGTGCAGCGCCAGCACTTAATTTTTAAGTAGTTCATTATCCCAGAAGTTTGCTGTGCTTAGTTGTGTACCGGGTTTTGTTAGTTTCCTTTACATAGCCACGTTCATCATGCTTTGCTTTCTAAGTTATTTATGGTAAAATTCAGACTGCACATAGACAATTTCTTTTAAGTAGTATGTTGGGAAATGGGAAGGAGGAAATAAACATGAAGACCTGAATCACATAGAAAATGACAGCTGCCATTAGGAAAATGACACCTTCTGACCTGAGTTGCTTGTACCCGATTGAAGAAATTAGTACTCCCCAAGAATTTTTCCGAAAGAGATTCTTTTAGCTCTGAGCACAGTGCAATACACGTAGTACGTACAAGCGAAAACAGAGATAAGCCGGAATCACGTGTTTGGAGTGTCTCACAATTGTGAAAAAAACCCAGAATCGGTGGATAGGAGGAGAAATTGGAGAGCATATTAAGAGGGGAAGGGAAAAAGGGAATCTCCGTTCTTCTGTTACATGTATAATAACTGTTTAAAGAGTAATAGTTTAAGGATTGTAAAGGGCTTATGCACGGCAAAATTGTAGATTTATCTACCTAGTTCTGTTAGAATTAACTTTCGTCTGTTGGGAAGACTGGGTAAGATTAGTGGACGAGAAATGCTTCTTACTATCCACCTATAGTCAGAAACTTGACAGCCCTACCAAAACAGCACAACAGTAGCAAACAGTATTCAGATATCATAACGCTAGTGTACGTAAGAATTCATGTTTGTTTAGAAAGCAGGGTTCAGTTCCTAGAAAGAGTAGAGTAAGGGTGTGAGTTTCAAAGGCAGGAGAAGCAGGTGACTGGAGGCATAAACATTTTCATGTAGCAAGCTGGGGATGCTTAAAAGGTAGTTGAGGAGACCGGAAGGAAGGGGCAGCGGCATAAGAAATAATGCGTTGTATGCAAATACCAAATTAGAACCCCTTACTTATTTTTCTCGCGTAATGCAGGAGCTTGTGCTGTTTAATAGAATTGAGAAGTGACTCATTCAAAACTGAGGAAAAGGCGTACTTTTCCTCCCAGTGCACATAGCTAACTTGGAACACTCTTCGATGTTAGTGTAGCACCGAAATTCAGTAGGATTCTGAAGCCTCTTGCTCCCACTGGCAGGGTCTTAGGTCTTGGTGGGGCAAATCTACACAGACGTACGATGTCTAATACGAACACGGGAGGAAAGGACTGGGGTTTTTTTTGTTGTTGTTGTTGGTGTTGGTTGGTTTGGGGTTTTTTTTGGTCAAATGGTATCTTAGACCAAGTTACAAAAGAGAATAACATATTTTGGCGTGTTTTTTCCTAGACACCTGAGGAGCTAGAAGAAGTATCTGACCTCGAAGAAGACCATGATGCACGTAGTCGTACAAGTATTCAAACTGAAGGGAAAACGGACAGGGTATGTATAACACCAATTTAATTAAAAAGCAATTTGATGAGGGGAAAATGCTGTAGTATTAGTGTTTCTGTGAAGCCACTTAAAGTCAGGCACTGAAACGTTAAATTCTGTTCCACCCTTAATAGATTTCTGAAAATGTGCACAGGGCATGAAACGGACATATGTATGACCTAAAAGAGAAAAAATTGTGATTAAGTTGTAAACATTGAGTGAAGATTTAAATTGGGCAGAAGAAATCTTGCGCATACAGACCTGAACAGACTTCTCACAGGTTAAATTTTCATAAATTTGCCTTGGTCTAGGAGATGTTAGGTTAATTGGGATTTTTGATTTATGAATCTGCAATGCACAATACCCGAAAATAACCTCTGCATGTGAGACCGTCCACATGTACGGAACAGGGAGGGAGTCGTCTGGGATCTTAGCCACTGCGCTGTGTGAGGTGCAGACTTTCCCTGCTGTGAGTTCCTGTGTGAACTTGCTATGTCGTTCATTGCTTGATTAGTGAATTTGTGAGGGGATATGAAAAACTTAAGGCAGCATTTCAAAATTTGATAAAATATTTCTGGAAGTTTTGAATCTGGTTTTACTGCTTTATCATCATTTAACCTGAAGTCTACATTATTGGCTGCTGTTTATATTCAGACGATTCTTGAGAGCCTGTAAACGTTTTTGAGATAGCAGAAGGTTTCTTAGTGTGAAATTGACCTATTTAGCAAACATTTTTCTTATTACGTTTTAATTTTAGAAAACGTTTCAGCAAAACCATACTCTGGTAGCAGCTTTCTGAAGTGGAGAGCTCCACGGGGCCAGAAATGTCAACTTCATTATTTGTTTGCAAAATGCCTAGGGCAAGAGCAGATCTCTCATACTTGATCGATTCTAGTACTATTCCCATAATAGAAATTACAAAAAATAGAACTAGTTGGAAAAAGCCAAAACTTTCAATAAAAAAAGAATGTCAAGAAAAATGGCATTTTTTTTTTACATTGTTTTCAAGAACACAAGTATTTTATTTTTTATTAAGACCCCAAATACTAATGAGAAAATGCTAACCAAAACAAAAGCTCTTGACCTGTTTTGCATTATGTCGTAAAAATTTGAAATAAATTCTGAAAAAAATAAGTAAAAAGAAAGGAAACTGGTATTAGAATAGTGCCTGATTGATCTTTTCAAAACTACTGTCAGTTTACATTTAAATGTGTGTGTGTATACAGGAAAGGAAAGTTGCTGGTGTTCTCCAAAAGAATAGATTTGTTATTCAATGTGCTCTCTCTTTTTAAGAAAAATTCCACAAGAATAATTGTACCTGGTAAGGGTCCATTGACAGAACTGGGCAAAAGAGAGAAGTGTTCTCATGATGCGGGGGAAATTAAGGGCCAGTGCTTTCAGTATGCCTAGGATAGTACTTTTTGTTTCTCTGCGAAACAAATGAAAGACACTCATCTACTTTCATAAAGTTGTGCATAGCATTAGAGATGGAGTTCCACAAATTAAAAATTATATTTTGTGATTGGAACTTTTCATCATTAGTCTAAAGGCCTTGCAGACTATCCTGTGGCTAAATATTTTGTGTGTGTGTGTGGGTGTGTGTGTGGAAGGGAGTGTTAATTCTGTCAGGGTCAATTACATGTTAATTATCCATTCTTAAAATATATTGTGTGAAATCAAACTATGTGAAAGATTGCCTTGCACAGTCTTGCTACTCAAATAACATAATGGGCGTTTAAAACGTTATCAGCTACCCTTTTCAGTGTAAATTATTCCTTGTAATTGTTAGCATCTTTTTCTCACATTACAGACTAAAATTTCTGTTGGAGCTGAGAAAGACAAGGTTTCCCCTCAAAACGTTACGCACATCAGATGCTATGAATTTGTTCGGCACAGATACGGGTGGTGTGCTTAGAGACAGATGCATAAGTATCCCGTAGTGAATGCGCTTTCAGTAGAAAAAGAGAGTAGTCGGTAGATGTTTATGATGCTAAAGTAGTAACAGAAGATACACTAAAGGTTTAGAAGATCACCTTCTTACACATGTTCTTCCACCTCTCAGATAGCCCAGGGTGCGTCTTTAAGGGGGAATATTCTTTGAAAAGAAAGCCATAAATGACCCATACTTCCAGAAGTCTGCAGAAAGCGTGAAGACTGAGGACTATTGTAGGCAGGGAGCTGGCTGTCAGGAGTCAGAGGCATTAGAGGCTATTACTGTGGGAGAGAGATCTGTGGAATACGCTTTTCATTGTGCTACCCACACAGTATGTAGTCTGCTTTGCCACTGAGTTTGGAGGGGGGGGGAGGGAAAGGACAGTTGTTTATACATAAACCATGGTTCCCGGGTCTGAAAAAACAGTATTACAGCACCTAGCACTTTCTTTTTTCTTCTCTTCCAAAATCAGATAGAATTACTGTAGACACTCCTTTTTCAGGAAGTAAATAGTCATTCTTTAAAGCCTGATTCTGTATCTTTACTAGGGAACAGTTTTTCTAGATTTCAGGTTGTGGTACCAGGGCCATAAGTGGCACATTACCTAAAACTGTAATAGAAAATTACAGCTTTGACTAGAATAGATACATACCCTCTCAGCCTTAATCACATGCTGATAGTTAACCTTCACATTTTTTTTATACAAATGTTTAAACAAATCTATTTGCTGCTGCTACAAACATGAGCAATGATTAAAGGCCTCTTTGTGTAAACTAGTTTTTGATGCTTACCTCTGAAGATACTTGCCTAGAATCTATTTACCCATATGAAGACTCTGTATAGGGAAGATACATTGTAAGGTTTATACAGGGATTGTCTTTGTTGCGTGTTCTACAGCAGAGGCCTGTGCTGTTGTGTGTACGGTTTCTGTGCGCAGCCGTAACACCAAGAATGACTCTGTTCCAGAAGCGGTATGGTAAGATTGCACAGCAGTTTTTCTTCCTCCTAGAGTTCTTTCTCCAAGACGTTTCCACTGTAGTAATTCAATTTTATTCGTATGTCTCAGTCTCAATATTCGTTCTGCACAACAGCACTCTCGATTCCACTTGCCTTGTTGAGAGTCACATTTTCTCCTATGTAAAATTCTTCCATGCTCCAGTAGGGAGCAGGTGCCTTTAGAAGAGCCTTTTTTCTTTCTTCTTACTTGCGACATATAAGGCATCTGAAATCGATTGTGATGTGCATATGCCACACATTAAAAAATGCTTCGTCTTAACTAGCAAATCTCATTTTTTTAGGTGGGGAGAATTCATATTCATATTATTAACTGTAACTTCTTCAGAATCAACGTATCGAGAGAGAGTTAGTGGTGAGGAGATAGGACTGATATTTGACCTCTTATTTATAGTTCTACTTTTGCAGCTACGTAGGTAAACTTGGACATGTTACTTCATTGGTCTTTCCCTCAGATAATTCGTATTTCTAAGATGAATATGATAGTGCTCGTGGCACCTTTCCACACTGTGGGATGCAGGTTAACTTGGGCAATGTGCTGTGAGCTGTCTCAGCAATGAAACTAGATGGAAATAAGAATAATTATTTGTAGGGCAATTTTGTGTCCCTGAAGAAGAGCCTTAGGTCTAAATCCGCAGCTAATATAAACCGGTACTGCTTATGGAACTAAGGAATAATGCAGGCCAGCTCAGCTGAAAGTCGGCTCTACAGGGCACGAGGTGTTCTTCCTCTGATGGTTGTGACTAATTTGTTTAATTACTTTGAAAGTTTATCACACAGTAATGTTGCTTGAAGAAACGTGTGATGTCACGATCAATGCTATTTCACTGTGGTAGTTTTGTGGCTTTCCCATTCTAGGATTTCGTGTTGGAGAGGAGATCAAATAAATTGCTGTCCAGTTAATTTTCAGACCAGAAATCAATGAGCATTTTGAGAAAAGGAGAGAACTTATGTTAAGTGTGTGAAGTTAGTAAATTAGTGAAGAGAACAGCTTAGCTTGATTTTAAAGTTGCTACTAAAAGTTACGTGTTCCTGTTGAAGAACTGGGAGAAATGTTTCAGCTGATACGTAGTCCTCTTTCAGATGATGAGCAAAAATGCTTTCAGGCAACCACGCACCCACCCACATTTCTTTCTCAGAGGTCTGCAGACTGTGTCATGAATATATAGACAAAAATATCTGAGAGTAAGATTGCTTTTATACAGATTTGTTGTGTATTATGTTTGTGCAACAATTCAGTGCTGATGAAAAGTTGACTCGGTGTGTGTTATATTGGGAATTAGAAAGTCCAAACTGAATTATTTTACTTTTATGCAGTGATTATTAATATGTAAGTCTAAAAAAACCTCAGCTTTGAAAAGATGACCATAAAAGACTTGCCAAACACTGCCAGGTGAGACAGTGGAAATAAAAGCAAAAACTAGGAAGACCTAAGAGTACTTGCATAACATTTTGACAGCATAAAACAGTACTTGGAAGAGAAATGAATTTGTCATCAAATGATTCAGCTGTTCTTAGTAACAAAGATTTATTGACAACATTTGTTTCTGAACATCTACATTCCTCTGTTGTTTTAAAAGAGAGCATGAGTTAACAGAAAGTGTTTTGCTATTTTGATAATAAAAAAGATGTAAATATTTTATATGCTTAATTTTTACCAAAGAAACACAGAAGCTCGAAACCCCAATGCCAAGAATGCAAGCGTAATGCCAGTAACTTGTGAAATTTTGCATAGGTTCTGCTAAAGGCAGTTTGGACACTTAGTACATAGCAAAATAGTCCCTATCAAGAATCATGATCTGTCAAAACCATTTCATTCCCTTGCTGACTCATAAGTTACCACATATTTCAATAAAGAGACGAGATGAAGTTAGTAGAAGACTCAGGATTTCGGCAGTATAATACTATATATTAATAAAAACTAGGCCTGGAAAGAATAGGCTAATTCAGCCATTTGTCTCAAGGTAGAATAAATATGCTTCTTCCCGACACTTTCATCTATGAGAGCAATTCCATTGCTGTATCTCTTTAAACAATCAATTCCAGTAATCGGCTAATGGAAAGCTTTTTCTTCCTGTCTAGTGAGACTTGCCTCATTTGCTGCAATTAAGCGTGTTAATAGTGGTCTTCTCCACAGCGGACACAGAGGATCATACGTTTCCTTTCTGTTTGTATCAGGTTTGTTTGTACTTACAGGCTCTTATTGTGTGTCCTCTCTGTCTTCTTGTACTTCAGATTAAGCAACTCCCGTATCCTCCATTTCTCTTCAAAGACTGTGCTTTCTGTACGTCGTCTTCCTCTGTTTTTTCTCTCCTCTGGATGCTCTTCGTCTGGTTGATGCTTTCTTTAATTTTGTATCAGATAATTCATATTGCTCAATCCATTACACTGACTGGGATTTCACCGACAGGCCCCAGAGCGTAAGGTTCGTGCTCTTTTCTGCTGCTTAGATATTTCAGTATGAGGTTTGCCTTTGTTCCAGGAGTGTGTTAGGATCAGCTATCTGCAGAACTGCTGATAGCCAGTTGTGTCCCAGTTGTGTGTGTGTATTGGTGATTGTTCTTAAGTGTAAAACATTGCACTTGTCGCAGCTGAGTTAGATGCAGTTGTTTTTTTAGCTCCATTCTCGAGCTTCTAAAGAGCATTCTGAGTTGCGAACCAGGCCTCTTACGTGTCACCTGCACCTGCAGAGAGGCGCGTACTCTTCGTTCTGTCATCCTTGCCAATACTGAAGATAGTGAATTCTGCCCAAGTCAGGGCAGGCCCCTTTACAGTTTTCCATGATCTGTCCCTCCAGCTTGACACTGTGTTTTCTAACCGTTGTCACAAGCACCCAGTGGAGATGACATCTAGATGATATTTCACTCAGTTGTTCATGAGAACGACAGAGAAACAGTGACCAAACCCTAGTGAAGCCAAGATACATGACATGTGTTGCTTATTCATCTACAAGCCTGTTACGCGGGTACAGAGAGAAATTAGATGAATTTGACGCAATTGCCTCATCCAAGTCGACCTTTGTAGTGAAGGTTGATGCAAAAAGTGCATTGAACGGTTGGTTCTTTCGACATTATCTCTCAGTAGCTTTTCCTCTTTATTCATTTATATTGTATCTGAAAATATACAGGAACAGACATATCATAGCACCAGTGAGACACTCTTTGAACTTGTTCAAAGAATGGTGGACTTCAAAAGATGTTACAGTCCTTAAAATCGGGAGAAGACAGCTGGTGACAGCAGTTAGTAAACTTGGCAAAGGTAGTTCAGCTTCTCCTATCTGTCAATATATTGAACCCACACAATTCATCTCTAGGGAACATCCTGTGTGCTCTGTTTGCCGTGGATTGTTGAAAAGCCAGCATTCTCTGTTTCGCCTCTTTATTAGAAACTGTGTGATTATTCACTCAGAATAAAAAGTAGGACGTGTTTTTAAAAAACAGCGGACGCATTTTATTCAATTGAACAGAATCGCTTTTGACTTTGTGCTGTATTCAGGAAATGTTACTTATGTTTTGGCATTCAAAACACCTGTGTAATAGTCTTAGTGCCTATCTTAGGCTTACCTTCTTGATAAAATAGACTCATGTGAGGTGTGTATGTTTTATGACAGCAATCCACAAAATTTGTGGAAGAAGTAAAGAGTGTAGGTCACAACTGGAACTGTTCTAAAATAGTTTAATTGAAATATGTTACTATATTTTAAGTGATTTGGAGAGATCTCGTTCACTTCCCCCAAACGTTCACCGACGTCCCAGTCCAGCTGACCCTGTAGCCAGAGAGGTAGAATATAGGCAAGACGGCTTCATGTGGCTGCTGAGCATGTTGAGGAATGAAAAGCTTAGCTCTGAACTAGGCAAAGCAGGGCATGGGTCTGGTCTCTGGATCTGTGCCGTTATCTTCTAACCACAAAACTTGAGGCACATGTTATTTTTGTATTCATGTTCATAAGAGCGTTCAGAAGTTTATCATTTGGCCTAACAAGAAAGTGGGGTTTGGTCGTTTTCTTCGTAACCTACAAAGCTGTAGAAAAACAGAGTTCTCCCCTCTTCTCTAGTTATGGTAGCATGAGGCGTTGCAACACACAATGCTGGAAGTGTTAAATAACAGAAGGGGGGGGGTTCCTGCAGTTGAGAATGGTATCTGGCTCACCTCTGTGTCTCGGACAGGAGGAGTTTTGTGTAACGTAAACATTTATGTGGACGTGTTGTGCTTCTTTCTGCAGTTTCTGTTTTCTTCTTTCCTCCCTGTAAGCTGTAAGAAGTTTGGTGTTGTGGGTCCAGCCAGGCAGTTGTTTTAGGGGATCAGGTATGGACAAACGCATGACAGTCTGATAGTTGGCGAGAATAATCGTAAGTTTTTATGAAAGTCCCAATTCTTTGTAAAGTGTAGGCACATGACCAGATCCTTGGATTGGGATTTCACTGGTGAGTAATATGCCAATGGGAGAAGAGTCAAAATCTTCCCAAGCTGGTGACTCCTTGGGTCGTCTAGCGTTGTCGCTACACGAACAGTTTGTGCTCCTCTTAAAGTGCGTGCCTCTGTGATACCGAATGGACTGAAAATTGTAGTGGACTGAAATAACAGGAAAATGAGACCTTTGTTTCCTGTTTACCTTATGTGTCTACCTTGATGCAAAGTAATATCTGCACTTGAAAGGCTGTGCAGTTATTTTGCTGCTGCACTTGTTTATTAAAGCAGTATGAGTGATGAGAAATTGGAAAAGAGAAAATTAAAAATTGAGGTCAGCATTGCAGTTTCCTTTGCTCCTTTGTGACAGTGGATAGCGTGTTTCATTCCACCGGAAAGTCATTAATGTTGTCATGTAGCAGGATATTGTATTTCACAGGTCCTTCATTAAAATGCCATCTTTCTTTTGGTTTCCAGAGTCTAGGTCCATGTTCTGTACTCAAAGCAATATTGAAACTGTGGGCTGGGGAATACCACAACATTCAGCAATAAGCAAATGCATGCTTGATTATAAACAGGGCTGCTGCTTTTCTTTGGACTCCGTGCCACAACTCTTAATTTTGCCTGTTTCATGTCCGTCTTTCAGCAAGCTCACCCTACAGCCATTAGGACAATAAGTATTGCTTACTTGTTAGAGTCTGATCATCACAGTATTTTTCTGGTTAAATATCTGGTCTGTTTTAAATCTTTTTTTTGTTTTGTTTTTTAACAAAACTGGAAAAATATCGCTTTAAATACTCAGTTGCACTTTCTGATACAGCGACCGCAGTGATAACGTAGTTAGTTATACTTTCTGAGTCTTTTCATTTCCAATAGTTCATATAACTGGGAAAATTAACCTTGTGACAGAGTAATTCGAGCGTAAATGAAATCTCATAAATGGCATGGCTTGAAAAACATGCGCATTATGTATTAGATCAGTTACCTGTTAACCTCATTGTAAGAATGAAGTCAGTGCCTTAACTTTCAGCTACAAATGAGAATAAAATGAAAAATGTGTGTTGTTTAATTGCAGTATTATTACAGTGTGGTAATAGTTGCTGTTTTAGAAAAGGTGACTGTGAGTTCCTGATGAGCTACCATGTAAGAGATGGACGTTTTGACACAGCCTAAGTGGTAGACAAAAAACACTCTGACAGAGCCATCAAGACCCACAGGCTGAAAGTATTTGGCCTCAGCTTAGTGGCACGTAATGTATCCACACAGAATAGTGTAGCTGATTTCCAGTATGTCTTTTTTTTCCCTGGAAGGAACCAGGAATGGCTTCCTTCCTTAAGACATGGAGTCTTAAGTCACAGTCTAGTTCCTACCCTGTCTCTGAGGCGGAAGATTTCTCTAACCCTTCTCTGGAGCAGACCGGTAACTGATAACCTTGCTCATGAAGAGCAACAGTTAAAGTAAAAAAATTACCATTCTCACCATGCTGCATTTTTAGAAGTTTCATTATTGATAGAAATAAAATACTTTTAAAAATAAATTAATGCTTAAATATAGGAGGAATATGTGCGTTCAGTGTAGATTGAACGTTCTGATTCCGTAGTCGGAATTTCCACACTCACATAACATTCCCGGCCCTACTAAACCTTTGTTTGAGACAGTTTTAGCTTCTGGAATGTTTACAAAATGTCCAGTCTAGACTTGCAGCCAAGTACGGGGCTGTGTCCTGCCTGAGCGCCATTTGACTGTGGCTGCATTTGAATATTGGATTTTTTTAATAGTCGTTCAAGATACCTGTGTCGTAATCTGACAGCGTGTTATCTCAGACGCGTTAATCTATTTCTTTATTGTTTCCAAAGAAGATGTATGTCTAAACCAATAACTGTATCCCCATTCTAACGATGAGGGGGTGGGCCCTCAGAGAGAGAGGGCAAGCACACCTGAAAATTTTAGGACAGCTAAACCTGTTTCTTTAATCTTTTCTGCCTGAAAGAATATTGCATTTTGCTGCCTGAACATATGTCTCATTACCTCGGCTAACTAATCTCTCAAAAAAAGGATAAATCTATCAGTCATGGTTCGTAAGGGCTGTTTGGGAAAATTTATCATTGTTTCTCTTACCGCATTAATAGTAATAGTTTCATGGACAGTGCTGTCCTAGTCCATGGGATAATCTGTTTGGCCCAACCCGTGATAATAGCGTACAGATTTTGAAATTCGAAGGTGCTTAGGCTGGAACAGCTGACTCGGGACCTAGTGAGTATGTGTAGTATATCTGTAGTGAATATATAAAGTATACGTTTAATAATACCCAGTGATTTTGCTTTAAACAAAAAAACTGACACAGACAAATGTTTTGCAGAGCAAATTATTTTATGTTTCAGGCAAAGATGACTCAGCTGCCAGAGGCCGAAAAGGAAAAGATAGCTGAACAAGTGGCTGACTTCAAAAAAGTCAAGAGTAAGCTTGATGCAGAGATTGAAATATGGGACGATACCAGCAATGACATCATTGTTTTGGCCAAGAGGATGTGTGTGATTATGATGGAGATGACTGACTTCACAAGGTAATTATGCAAAAAATGGTCTTCAGTATTTATGAATCTTAGAGGCCATTGTCACGTTGGTATGGCAAGAAATACTGAGTTTTTAATGTCAGATGACAGTGTCTTTACAAAATTGAGTGGCTAAGCTAATGTAATTAGCTTTACCACACTAGCTAGGAATACTGAAATGCTCGAAATGAGGTTTGAAGTTTTTATAACTGTGCTTATCCTTACATCTTTTTTTTTTTTTTTCCCCTTTGTCCTCTTTTATTCATTTGGTTGGTTGGTTGAGGTTTTTTTCACATTTCATAACACTTTATTTTCCCTCTCTAACGAAAGGGAAAAAGTGATACGGTAATGGAGCTTCTCTAGTTAGCGAAGAGCTCAATTTTAAAGTGTAGTTCTGTCTCATCTGTTATTCCTTCTGCTTGTACCGTAGTATGCTGTCAAGAAAGTAGCGTATTCCAGTCATGCATAAAACATACACTGTGAAGAGCATATATCTAGCAGTGTGCATTGAGACTCATGCTTATTTCATACCACATTGCCTGCCATTGCTTTCATGGGAACTGTATCATGCTGCTATATATAGTTTTAAAGAAAAAAATGTCCTATTGTAGATAGCTTTCAAAGAGTGTATTTCTCTCTGCTGCCAGTATATGCTCTGTGATAATTGCGTACGTAAAACAATCTTCAGAAGCTTTTCCTGCCATGCACGTAATACACGTTCAGTAATTTCCATCAAATGAAGGACACCAAAGCGGGGGGGAGGTACTGCTTTTTTCAGATGGTTATTAATAAAAGAATTGTTGATAGGTAGGTGAAGCCTTAAAACACAACTACTTTAATGCACTTCATATCTCATAAAATAATATTTGTTCGAAAAAAAAAAAATCCTTTCATGCAGGATGCAAAGAAAAATCTACAAATTGTACAAATTCTCCAGTGGTGTAAACTAACAGTGTTGCATAGAGCCGAACTGGCTGACAAAGCTGAGGCCTGGGTTGTTAGGCCTGTTTTGAGGAAGGCAGTTGTTAGGTTTTCTCATGCTAGTACTTTTCAGATTCACCTTCATGGAGGAGAGGTTTAAAGACCTGTGTCTTGATCTGTGAAAACATTTTATTTTCTGTAAGAGCCTGGTTTTTTAATGAAAAGAAAAGGTTGTGCTATAGTGAGTCTTTACAATTAACATTACCTTTCCCAGCAGAATTCTCTAGATTGATAGCTTTAGATCAAGATTAACAGAGTCAACTTGCGTTCCTGGTTCCTGGTCTGTGGCTCTCAGTTGAGCACTGTATAATGTACAGCTTCAAGTCCAAGAGCAGCTTTTGTCCAGCGTTGCTGATCTCCAAAGAGTCCACCGAGAACTGTGAAAAGACTGTGGTGGAACAACTTACTTGAAGGGAAGAATTAAAATCCAGTGAGGAGAGAGAGGGGATGTAATAGACTTTACTTACAAGTACTGTAGGTACAATATAGGTACAATATAAAGAAATCAGAAAGTTTGCCTTTTAAATATTTAGGAAATTGTACTTTGGCCAGTGTGCTTCTAATACGTTAAAAATCATGCCGCATAATCAGTCCGTAACTAGCGATGAAATGCAATTGTCCACTGCAATATGGCTGCTTTATTTTCTCTCCTAATGCAAAGAAAATTAGAAGCCAAGTATGTCAGACTACAGACCAAGGTCCAAACCATTGCTGGCTTGGAGCTGTAACATTCTACTCTGTCTTTCGTCACAGAAAGCAACACCTTTGGGTAGAGATCAAGCATTGCTGAAGATCTGATTGTACTGTAAAACTTGTATAGTTAAGTAGGACCTGGAGTACTGGAAGATTATTTTGTATAGTCTCCAATTTCAGGAAATTCATTAATGTTTTTACTTCATAGATGTTTAGACTATAGTTTGAGATATGCACATATATACAAGATACTCCAGTATTATTATGTATTTGATGCTTAAGTTGCGAGTTGTTGGGAGCAGGACTGTCCTTTCAAGTCTTTGGCTCTGTTTCTAGCACTGTTAGTAACAGAAACCAAGGTCCCACTACACTGTGGCAGTGTATAATGCCTTACGAGATACTTTTATATCTTAGATTGTTTTATCTCACACCTTTTGTAACCTGTGTTTGAATAGGTCTTTTAGTAATATATTTTCAACTCACTTCTTTAGTTTCTTCTTTAATGGTGCCCGATGCAGTCTTCAGATGTGAAGGTTTGTCTGTATCTAAAGAGTAGGTGAAAGGGTGTGGGTCTGTCCCTTCCTGTTATTGTTGCACTATCAACAGGTGGCGTTGGTTGGTGCTGAGGGAAACTGTGGCTTTCTCTCTTCCTTCCCCCTGAAAATCTGGGGCTGAAGACTGCTGAGCCATGGCAAGCACCAGTTCATCTTAGGGTGTGATCTCCCCAGCCTGTAGTTCAAAGCTCTGAGACACGGAAGAAATAAAGGATTGTGACATTTTCTACTTGTTACATCGGAAGCTACTCAGGGAAATAGTAAGTTTCCCTGTTTGTGTCATTTGTTATCTGAGCTGATTTCTGCTTTCCTGCAAATACGTTACTTCCCATTCATTTTTGTTTAATCTCATTGAGTGTTTTACAAAGCCCTAGTCTCTCAAGGTCACCTTATCATCTCAGTGTGTTCACGTGCGTATATTATCCTGAACTTACGTGTAACAGTCGTATATGCAACTAAAATCAAGCCAGTTTCAGTGTCACAATTGCTCATTGCTCAGATAGAAGGTAATGGGAATGATTCTGACATAAAATGTTGAAATTTATAACTCAGATCCTTAATAAAAATACTTAAGGCTGACTGAAGTAAACACCCGTGATAACCAGTAATTGTTCTGTGGAATTCAGGACTAGCAGAAAGAGTCACCATCTAAAGTAGCCTGTATGGATTAGCTTCAGTACTTGGTTGCAAAGCCACATGTCTCCGCTTTTTGGGACTCTTGCCAGAAGGTTCCTTCAGAACCTCGTTTGGAACAATTTTTCAACAACGGAACTTTTGTGACCATGCCCTGCTGAGCATGTTCATGAATGCATTTCCTGCGAATACCCTGCAAATAGACATTAGGGTAGGAAGTGTATTTTTATGTAATACGCGTTTTTCCAGGTTTCTTTAAGCTTTTTATGTGCTACCTGACATAAATGTGTTAAAACTCCATGGTGACCCTTGCTGCCATGAACCATCCATTAAATCATTGTCATATAAAACTTACACCTGACAGATGGAAAACTAATTGAGTAAGAGTGGAAAGCTAATGCTGGAAATTTGCAGCAGTAAGCAGCAGCTGCTAATCAGTGGTATGGACACTGTAACCAGGCCTGTTTACCCAAAACAGATATTTTGATTAGTGGAATCTATTAAAAATTTCCTAAAAATGTCATCACATTTATAGCAGGAACTAAGCTTTGGCCCGCAGGGGCAGAAGTGGAGGCGCTGGATAACAGGCATATGCTGTGCTGAAACACTGCTGGAAATTATCTAGATGATAGTTTTAGTATTCTTTAGTATCTTTGGGTGGGCTACAGTAAACAAGGCAAAAAGACCCTGGAGAGTGAAACTGTCCCTATCTTGTTATGGCTTCAAAAGCAAAGACATTCAGTGAAGCACGAGAAACACATGAGGTATCAGTGGTCTGCTGAGATTTTCTGCCTATATCTTCAGCCTGTAGCTACACTCTTGCTTCTGTCTTTCTCTTGAAAGACATCTTGGTTTGGCTTTGCTCTCTCTCTCCAGTGGTTGACCAGAAACCTCTGGCCTAACGCAGAAAAATGGCAAACGTGGCAAGTGTAGGAAGACAGTCCTTTTGTGCCTGTCGCACTCCTATCTTCCTCCTCTACATATGCGGGAGAGGTGCTTTGTTGCTTTCTTTTTGAGAGGCCTTAGTTGAGTAGGCATTTTCAGAGCACCTTACTGGGTCAGGATCTACCCAAAGTGCATACCTGCCTCTTCTTTCAAAGCCTACTTTGCAGAACTGTGCAGAATAGGGTTTTTTGGTTTCTGTCTTCCTTTTTTTTTTTTTTTTTAAATAGTTCAGTGATTTGCTCAAGGTGGCAGAAGATTTGATTTCTTTGGTTAGTGGAGGTTTTAACTAACTTTTCTCCTTCCGGAGTATTAGGCTATATTTTATTTGGAACTGTGGAAGCTATTTTAACACCAAACGTCCCAAGGACGCAGAAGAGAAATTTGCTTGACTAGTGTTTTCAGAACTCTGCTTACCTGTTTGTCCAATGACTGTTCAATATTAGCACTAACATTAAATACTTGTTGACTACTTTGGGACAGGAAGAAGAACACTACTTTCCTCCTTTTCAGAACCCTCATTACTATGGAGTCCTCCTAACACACGGTGTAGCCCGTAGCCTAGCGATTGTGATGTTTCTTAGAGGTGGCAAAAGATGTGGGTTCATATTTCTATGCAGTGAAGTCAGTCTTGGTTCAGATTTTGCCACCATGGTGAATGTTGCTCAGTTATGTTAAGGGGAAGGGAATGCAGGCTTTCTGCCTTTGAAAGGCTTCTCGTCCCTGTAAAGGGACGAGATTTCAGAGACTCCCTTGTCCTTAGTTTTTCCTATTGGCCGTCTTAAATGACTTCATGATTGCAATTTTGGTTTTGGTAGATCCCACTTTAAATTATTGAACTTTCTTCATTTAAAGGTCTCCTGTTGTCTAACAGTGTAGTGTGTGATGTGATGGCTGCTGAGGATGTATTTAGGTGCTGTAATACTCATCTTAGTTGGAGTGGTTAGGAGTAGTTCTTTCTGGTGTTGCGTTTCCACTTCTTTACCAGAGACAGAGCTGACTTGCTATGTGGCTGTATAATATTTTCAAGAAAGAGCTTCTGTCTTCGCTCCTTCCCCTTTTGTAAACTGCTGGAGATGAATGGTGGCTGAGCTGAGGCAGCACTGCAGCAGCC